GTGCTGTCCTGTGCATTATCTTTATCCCTGACTTCAATCCACTACTGGATGCCAGTAGCAATCCTGCTGTTTTAGTAGAACAACCAAAAATGGCTACAGATATTGCCAAATATCCCTTACAAGGTAAAATTAATTCAGAAACTTGTAATAGATAGGAAAGTTGGTGGAGGGTTTGATATAGTAGAGGATATGAAAAATAAATATCCTTTTTGTTTTTGTTCCTGAACTTCCTTCTTGGTTTGTCTGCAATAGAATTTGGGGACAGGGTGTGTTGTGCTTCATCTATTGCAAGGTGTGGCTCTGCTGACATTTGGGCCACATCATTCTTAGTTTTCAGGGGTTACCTGTGCATTCTTGGGTGTTTAGCAGCACCATGGGACCCTTCCAATGATATGCCAACACCCCTTCCCCAAGTTGTGACAATCTGCCTCCGGACACTGGTAAAATTGGCCCTGGTGGTGAACCGTTGATATAGGCTAAACCAAGGATAGGAAGGGTATAGGACTTCATTCTACATAACCCACAAGACATAATTTTAAAATTCTCTACTTTTTTTTTCCCCCTTCGAAGTCCTTTCTTGGTTATGATGCACTTAGTTTTGTTTGATTCTGCTCTCTCATGCATTCTCTATCTCAGCCATATTGATGTTTGGGACCAAATCATTCTTTGTTGTATGTTGTCTGTTTAGCAATACCCTTGTTCTCTACCTAGTAGGTGCCAGGAGTACCTTGCCACATCACTTCCACCCTCTGTAGTTGAAAAAATGAATATTGCCTCCATATATTGCTAGACATCTGGAGGGATGGGGCAAAAAGTTCCCCTGGTTAAGAGCCACTGTTCTACTTTAGCCCCATACAGTGGTTCTTTTCTGCCCCTTTTAAAGAAGAAGTGTATGTTTCTTGTTTTTACTCATAGACATGGAGTGGCAATTTTGTTGTTTCTTGAACATGATGGAGGAACCTCACTTCCTATCTCAAGTGGTTTAATTGTTACATTTTTCTCTAACAAATATAGGATTGCCCCTCGGAGGGATTCTAGCAAATAGCATATACTCCAATTTGCTAAACATTCATCATTTCTGCTCTGAGTGAACAGTAACAGGCCATTTGAGCTTTTGACATGGGTTTGGCTATAGATTGCTTTGCTGTGGAGTAAATTTGCACATACCTCTCTGTTTCACTAAATCCGAACATGTGGGCAACCTCAAGACAAGAATATTGTCTTGCACCATAAGCAAGTTAGTTCCTGTAACCTTGTTTCATCCTCTGAAAAATGTGGATAAGATTACTTTACAAGTAGTTTTTTTAAAAAATGTATTTCATTGATTTTTTTACAGAGAGGAAGGTAGAGGGACAGAGAGTTAGAAACATCGATGAGAGAGAGACATCGATCGGCTGCCCCCTGCACACCCCTACTGGGAACGTGCCCATAACCAAGGTACATACCCCTGACCGGAATTGAACCCGAGACCTTTTAGTCCGAAGGCCAACGCTCTATCCACTGAGCTGAACCAGTCTTAGCACAAGTGGGGTTTTTGATTAAGATTCTAGGTTATAAGATAAAGCACCTGGTATATATCAGATACTCAAAAATGTTAACCATTATTATTAATTTTTTTTAAGAGAATATAGGCCTGATGCACGAAGATTCGTGCAAGAATGGGCCTGCCTTCCCCTGGCTGCTGACACCACCTTCACTCTTGGCAGGAGCCGCCTTTCTGCCTTCCCATGCTGCTGAGAGGCCCGCCTGTGTCCTGCCCTTTGGGAGCTTGCATATGCAAATTAACCCATCATACTCATTGCTGATTGGCTGGTAGGTGAAGGTATAATCAATTAGCATGTTAATCTTTTATTAGGTGGATGTTGTGGCTATATAAAGAACCTTTAAAGCCAGAATTTAAACCTCCAACACCTATACTTAGAGTGTTTCACTCTTTATTTAATTAATTTCTGACTTAGTTGTTGTGGTCACAGCTGAGGCATGCTAGAGAAAAAAAAGATTGTTGCATTAATTTTTTTGTTGTTGTTTTGCCAGAAATTTTAAGACTTTACTAATTTGAATGTTCTCAAAAACACAAATTTAAAACTTAGCATCGTTGTATTTTTTCTTGCAATGTGAGAAGATGCAAATTGCATCTAAAGAGAACATAAGAGATAGAATTTTAAATTAGGAGTTTTACTGAAATTGGTTTCTATGGCAAAAGCATCATTTGGTTATCTTTTACTGTTTTTCCCAGTAGATTAGATATATTTTTCTTTCACGTTCCCCGCCCCCCCTCTGAAGTATGTATGTGGTTTTGACCTTTTCAAGACAAATTGAAAAATAAAATCGGATGAAAAGAAAATGGACAACTTGTGAGTCACATCACAAAAATGTCAACAAAAAAGCAGAATGTGCTTCTTTTAAAAGAAAACACCAAATGGCAGATGACACCAGTGATGTGAAGGGCTGGAGTCACGGGGGGGTGAGGGTGCTGTAATAGGAGTCTACAAGGGCTTCAGTGGAGGATTTGGCAGCTGCATCAGGGCCAGATCTCTGGCTGCTGAGGTTTGGGTTGGGGCTGAGTCGGTGGAGCTCAAGCAGGCAAGGCCCAGGATGAGTGAATTCCCAAGGTGGGCCCCTGGTCAAGGACATGAAGATTAAGTCCCTAGTGGAAATCTATATATTCTCTTTGCCCATCAAGGAATCTGAGATCATTGATTTTTTCTTGGGGGCATCCCTCAAGGATGAGATTTTAAAGTGTATGCCCATGCAAAAGCAGACAGATGCTAGCCAGATGACCTGGTTCAAGATATGTGTTGCCTTGGGGACTACAATGGACATGTTGGTCTGGGTGTTAAGTGCTCAAAGGAAGTAGCCACTGCCATCCATGGAGCCATCATCTTGGCCAAGCTCCCTATTGTCCCTGTGCAGCGAGGCTACTGGGGGAACAGAAAAGGCAAGCCCCACACTCTTCCTCACAAGGTGACTGGCCATTATGGCTCTACTCATGCATTCCATCCCTGCCCCCAGGAGTACTGGCATTGTTTCTGCCCCTGTGCCCAAGAATCTGCTGCTGATGGCCGCTATTGACTATAGCTATACCTTGGCCAGGGGCTGCACTGCCCCTGTGGGCAACTTCGCTAAGGCCACCTTTGATGCCACCTGTAAGACCTACAACTATCTCACCCCAGATCTCTGGAAAGAGACTGTTCACCAAGTCTCCCTATCAGGTACTCACTGGCCATCTTGTAAAGACCCACACCAGAGTTTCTGTGCAGAGGACCTAGGCTCCAGCTGTGGCCACCACATAATTTCATACAAGAAAAATAAAGTGAATAAAGCATCCAAAAAAAAAAAAAAAAAAAAAAAAAGCAGATCCCTAATCCAAAGGTGGTCGGCAAACTGTGGTTCGCGAGCCACATGCGGCTTTTAGGCCTCTTGAGTGTGGCTCTTCCACAAAATACCACGTGCAGGCGCATACATATAGTGTGATTGAAACATTGTGGCCCATGTGTAGAAGTCCGTTTTCAGCCTGGGCAAGCCTATTTTGATGACGTGGTGTTAGAACACTCAAGGGGCCAAAGAACTGCATGTGGCTCACGAATCACGGTTTACCTACTACTGCCCTAATCGGTTTGGCTCAGTGGATAGAGCATCAACCTGCGGACTGAAGGGTCCCAGGTTCAATTACGGTCAAGGGCATATACCTTGGTTGCAGGCACATCCCCAGTGGGGGGCGTGCAGGAGGCAGCTGATATGAGATGTTTCTCACTCTCTATTCCTCTCCCTTCTTCTCTATAAAAAAATCAATAAAATATATTTTTAAAAAAGTAGAATGCACTATTCTGGTTATAAAAAGGGGGTTCATTTTTCAATTTGTTACACAGGATGTATGCTTCCATAGATTAGAAAAGTAAGTGTTAATATAAGGCTGGGGTATGTAATTTGGTTATAATATCATAGAATTTAGAGGTGAAAGGGATCCCAACATTATTTAATACAACCACCCGAATTTACTAGTGTAGAAAGTGAGACCTCCAAAGGCAAGACCCCAACATTTTTACCATTGGTTGGTAACAGAATTTGTATAAGAATGTGATTTGCATTGAGTCAGGCACTCTGTTCTGTCAGTCACATCTATTGGGGGGGAAATAGAATTTGGGAATCTTCTAGAAGATTTAGCAGTTATCCTATATAATAAAAGACTATTACACTAGTTGTCCCCTTGACTGGGAGTTTGACCAGGAGTTTGACCAAGGGGCGGGGCCAGCCAGACAACCACCCATGGCCCCTCCCCCAGCCAGCCCTGCCCTCGATTGGCCCCCAACCTCAATCAGGGGCAAAACCAACCAGCCAACCACCTCTAACCCCTCCCCCCAGCTGGCCCCACCCCTGATCCCCCCCCCCCCCAAACGGGGGCAGGCCAGCCAGTCAACTTCCCATGTCCCTCCCTCCCACACCCTGGCCACCCAACCTAATGGTCCTGATTGGGGCAGGCCAGCCAGACCCCACCCATGCATAAATTCATGCACTGGGCCTCTAGTTTTCTTAGGAATTAAAATAATTAGCTAAGTACAGTGGAGATATTTTTAGGGATTATTGTAGCTCTGATCACTGGGTGAAAATGGAATATATTGACTGTGATAAGCTTGATCAAAACTGTGTTTTGATTCAGTACAACTATTTTAAAGCAAAAAAAGCACCATTGTTATCTACTACCAAGTCTTTTAGAGAAGACACAGATGGACATGGTGGGCTATAGTAGAATCTAAACTTTAACCAATGCATAATATCTATTTTCCCCCCACAGAATCTCTCACTCTGTCATTTTCAAATGACTTGACTTTATTAAGGAGCTTACACAATACTGAAAGCTCAGTGGTATTATTAAACAGTTCGTTGTCTTCAAACTACCAGTATGTTTCCAATACTTTCCAATATGTATGTTGAACACTGCATATCTTTAACATATCTTGAATCTTCTGGTAGTATGGCACAATTTCTTTTCACTGCAGATCTTAACGAAACTCCCTGGGTTTTTGTTGAAATCGTTTTGATTTTTTTTCTGTGTCTCCTTTTTGTTCATCTAACTTGTATCTTTGGGCCATTCTTGCAAGAGCTTCTGGGATACTTTGATTTGATCTTTCCAGAATTTTAATCAATTCAGGAGCAATCTTCCAATCTCTTCTAGTCATAAGGGTAATGGACATGCCAGTCTTCCCTGCTCTTCCAGTACGCCCTATTCTGTGTACATATTCTTCAATATTTATTGGGAAATCGTAATTATATACATGTGTGACATCATCAACATCAAGGCCTCGGGCTGCTAGATCAGTAGAAATTAGTATTCTCACATCTCCACTTTTAAAGTCATCTAATGCTTGCTCACGTTCACTTTGTTCTCTGTTTCCATGCAGGGATTGTACACATAGGCCTCGAAGGCTTAAATCGCTGGATAAGTCATCAGCGACAAGTTTTCTACTGACAAACACGATGACTTTGTCTTTGGGGGACAGACTCTGTAGGAATTCTTGGATAAGATATCGTTTTTCATCTTCTGTGGTAACAATTATATTTTGCTTCACTGTATTGACAGCAACTAGATCCAGAGTACCAACATAAACCATCATAGGCTCTTTCAAGTAAGTCTGTGCAAGTCGGCGAATGGGATCTGGCCAAGTTGCACTTGTCATAACAGTTTGCCGATCTGGGCGCACATCCAATAAGATCTTCATGATCTGATATTGAAATCCCATATCTAGCATTTTATCGGCTTCATCTAAGACTAAGTAAGTTATGCTTCTAAGGTTGATATAATTATTCATTTGCAGATCATGCAGGCGCCCGGGAGTTGCAATAACGATGTCTATGTCTTTGGCAATATCTTTGATTTGTTGTTGTCTATTTCCACCACCATATATGCAAAGACTTTTCATATTTTTATATGAATACTTAGAACATTCATTTCCTACCTGGAGAGCTAATTCTCTTGTCGGTGTAAGGATTAGCATGCCAGGACCTTTCCTTTGTTCTCTGGGTGTTAGTTGAGAATTGATGTGAATAAGGCCGGGCAATAAATAAGACAAAGTTTTACCTGTTCCAGTTTGGGAGACTCCTACAAGATCTATACCTTGTAGAACAATTGGCCACATCTGTGATTGGATTGGCATTGGCTTTTGAAGGCCTGCTCTTTGAATATTTTCCATTAATTCAGGATAATTCTGGAAAGCATCTTCAAATTTCAAGGTTGGGTTGGGGATAGAACGTTGTTCGCCATCTTTCAAATCATCACAAATTATATTGAAATTTTCTTTCCTCCAAATATCTGCCTGCATTTGAGACAGAGAACTTGTTGCTTTGGATTCTATGTAAAAGTCTTTTTTGATTGGTGCTAAATCTTCCCATTTTCTTTTTTCCCAGTCTTTCTCTCTTGCCTTAATTCGATCCCAGTCTATCGATGGTTGTACTTCTCTAACAGTGTTATCTGTGGTTAAGTCTCTTGCAACAGATGGTTGTGATGCAGCATTATTAACAATGCGTTCAGAATACTGGTAGTTTCTTCCTTGTTTTTCAACAATAGTTTCTATAACTTCTTTGGCCTTTTCTTGCATCTCCTTGCTGCCAAAAATGTTTACCTCAGCTTCGGAATTACCCTGTACTGGTTTGATCTGTATTTTCGTGTTTGTCATACTCTGAATGTCTCTTATTTTTGATCCTCCATGACCGATAACTGCGCCAATCAGACTGTTTTTTATCATAAAAACAAGAGGAGGGCTTCTGGGGCCAGGAGCCCTAGGCTCCAGGTGGCTGGAGGAGCTGCCCCAGCCCTGGCCTCTGCCATTTCTGCCACCTCTTCCTCCCCTGACATCTCTGTAGGCCCTGCCAGCCCTGGGATCCCTTAGACTTGGCTCTGTCCACTTCTGCTTTGGGGCCCAGGCCATTTCTACATCGTAGAATTAGAACAGACTTATTGCCTACCTCCAGTTGGGAGATGTGGCCCGAGGTCTCTTTCGCTCCAGGCTCTGGAGCAACAGACCATACTGACTGGTAGATAGTTATATAGCCGTTGCCTAGGGGAGCATTTAATGTGATGTCACAAAGGGCTTTGATGACCTGACCAATCACAGGCCTTGGACTAGGACAAGGAAAGCAGGTATCTCTGAAACAAATTTAAAGTGACACTCACTCTCAAAGGTCTTTATAGGTCTTATAGGTCTCAAAGGTCTTATAGGTCTTTATAGGACCTTGAGAATGGGTGTTCCTGCTACATTGGTGTCATAGGCGCCTCCATTGTTCATTTCTTGCTAATTCTGGCTCAGTTTGGGAGCAGATTTGCAGCAAGCCATGAACTTATCCACATAATTGTGCTTTTATTTTTTTAAATCAATTATTTCCATAGGAGGAAAAATAGTGGATTTGTTTGTTTCCTTAGGTCCTCCTCCTTTTGATAGTTACATGTCTTTCAAACACTGGGAAAAACCTTCTCCATGTCAGCATTTTTCTGGAGAGCTACTTTCTAAAGAAAGAATAGGTAGCTGACCAAATATGTTGGTAAATATAGCATCCTATATCTCTTATATTATAGTTACAACACATATTAGGTATCTCAGAAAACTCTGATAATTACAGGAATTGAGAAACTCAATTGGGCGTTATTTACCCCAAAGTTTCCAAAGAAATTTGCCAGTATAACCTCTTCTCAATATTTTAATTAAACATTTTGTGTGGAATAATTTTAGACTTATCGAAAAGTTACATAGATTGTGCAAGAGGTTCCCATATTCTCTTGAACCAGTTTATGTCCTCCAATCTTATCTCACACTACTATGGTACATTTGTCAAATACAAGAAACACTCACCGGTGTGTTAATATTAACTAACCTCCAGATCTTATACCACCAGTTTTATATTAATATATTTTTTCTGTTTCAGGATCCAGTCTTGGACATCGCATTGCATTTACTTGTCATGCATGATTTGTGACAGTTTTTCAGCCTTTCCTTATTTTTCACAGCCTTGTCAGTTTTGAGTAGTAATGGTCAGGTATTTTGTATAATATCCTTTAAATTAGGTATGCCTGATGTAATTTCTCATGATTACACTTGGGTTACACACAGACACAAACTCACAGTTACACTACTTGGTTTATAGTAGGAACTCTTTAAGTCCCAATTACCCATGTTATAGAAACTCTGTATAGTTACTATATAAAGACAATTATGCATGTTCCCAAATGCCTGTCTAAGAATTTCTCTGAGAGTCTCCTCTAGTCTACACCAAAATGAAAAGAATAGGGATAAGGATAATAAAACGTTTTTAAAAAATAAATAAAAATTTATTCAACTTAAATTATTTTATTCTAACATGGTGCTTTTCTATTTTTGTAAAATGTCCTTTTAAACATGAAATGAGGCTTTTAAATGGTTTTAAAAGATGTCTACTAGAACAGAAAAAGTAAAACCAATACCGGTAGCCAGATGAGGTTTTGAAATATTACTGGTAAGCAAAATCAAAGGCTTTATAAGTACTCATCTAGAACATTTGCAATTACATAAAATTCAGCACGTTATTAGATATTAATGATGATGGCAGACAAGAAGGGCTCAAGTGAAGTCTGAGAGGCTGGATAGTAGAGGCAAAGACAATAAGATCTGAAATTAGAGATAAGATGATGTTAAAGTTTCAGGGGAAGAAACCAATGTTACCTTGGGAAACAGATGAAGGCAGCCAGAAGTAATGCTGGTGGTCTTGTTCTGGCATCTAGAAGGGTTCATCAATCTGGAGAAGGGGCTGTGCATAAATTAGAGTCCAGCGATGAAACATAATTTTGAAAGGCATATTGGGGAGTCAGAGAAAGACTTAGCTAAAGGAACTAAGTTCTCCTTGTCTCAGGACCCCTTGCTTTTTATTAACATAATTTGTCCTAAGGCAAGGTGGAGATATACACACCAAAGGGTAGAGTTAGGTACAGAATCCCTTGTCAGATTGGGAGAATTTGCCCATGGCTGTTCAGGTATTTGGCCAGTAGGAGGCAATAACATGTAAATTAAGATGTCCTGAGCTGTCTGGCTGCAAGCAATCATCCTTTTCAGGTTTGGGGAAATGCCTTTCAGCCATTCCAGATGATTCAGCCCTGCTGACATGCTGGAATTGGCTTCCAGCACTGGAGGACTAAGATAAATGATCCAGATTATGGAGAAAAGCAGAAATGGAGAAAGATAGTCTAAATCAGGGGAAAGGAAAAGGGAACTGCCAGGAACCATAAAGACAATCAAATAAATTGCATTTAAATTTGCCAAAGAAAGAGAGTGAGCTTAAAGTGAAGAAGTCAAATGACACTGTTGGTATTAATTAAGGAAGCAGGTCCATAGGAATAAAGCAGGATGCAGGAAAGTATAGGATGGGGTCTGTGTTTGTGGTATTTTAAGTACATTAGACTGAGAGATTTGAACTCTGTGGAAGTGGTAATTCAGAGAAAGTAACAGCTAGGAAGATGAGGGAGCCAAGTAGCAATGAACATGTTCTTAGTCCTACTATTATTATATAAAGAATAAATTCGAAGTGAATAAAAGACTTAAATGTAAGTTGCAAAACCATAAATATCCTAGAAGAAACCATAGGCAATATAATCCCAGACATATCTTAGAAGAATATTATTGCTGATATATCAATCTTTCTAATGCTGTGACCCTTTAATATAGTTCCTCATGTTGTGGTTACCTCCAACCATAAAATTATTTTCCTTGCTACTTCATAACTATAATTTTGGTACTGTTATTGAATAGTAAGGTAAATATGTATTTTCCGATGGTGTTTTCCAGGCTGAGGGACCTCCCATCCCCAGTGCTAGTGGTAAATAAGTTAGCTAAATTTAAATACAAGTCTAATCAGCTCCAAGGCCTTTCACATCCTCTCCACTCCTGTTTGTAGGGGAAAACATGCTGGATTTGGTGCCTAATTATAGAGATGGAATAAAAGATGTGTTAAGTCAGAGATAACTTAAATTTATAAATTAAAAGAGTTATTGAAGCAAAGAATCTTGGAGCCATTTTACAAAACAATTGGACTAGAAGTCATTGAGAAAGCAAGAAGTGTTTAGTTTCAGACATTTCCAGTTTGTGGTGTGGTGCAAATGGAAATGTTAAGTAGGACTGGAGATTTGGGACTGTAGTTCAGACAAGGAGATAAGGGGTAGAGATATGAACATAATCAGCATAGAAGCTGTAGTTGGAACTGAGAATGAATATTCTTCCCAAGAAGTAGAATAGCAAAAGACAAGTTGAAGAATAGCTTACAGGATTAACGGATTCATATTATTAGATGAGAAGGACCAAGAACCAAGTGCAGAAACAACAAATACTTAAGAGGATCAGAAGAAAGTGTTATAATATGAAATAAGGGTAAAGAACATGTTGAGAAGGCCTGGTAAGTAGAATACTGAATTTGGAAAAAGGAAATCACCAGTGAGTTCCAGGAGGGCCTTTTTTGTTTGATAACAGAGGAACACATATTACAAGGAAAGCAATTGGGATGAGACAACTGAATCACTGGGGAACTTGGTATAATGGGGACAGAACTTTACATCTTGTACCAAAAGCTGAAAGGCACTGTCTTACTTTTTAAACAAGGCTTCTAGTAAATCAGAATTTCATGGCCAAGTTACTAAGATTGTTCTGTGAAGGAGCTAATAGATTTCAAGATTAATTATCACGAATATTGGAAGAAAATGAACTTTCATAGTCCTTCAAAACATGTGGAGGGAAAGAAAAATATGTGGAAGGACAGGATGAAGGAAAGAATCACAAGGAAACAAGGACCATTCATTAATAGTTTCAGAAAAGGGAAGTCTTTCTAGAAGGAGGGAGAGGGAGTACTGGGAGTTCTTTCAAGGAGATTACAGTGCTATTTTTAGCTACCCATTAAACCTTTCTCTATAAATTTAGTTTATTCTTCACAGAGTGGGGGGGGGTGCATTATTTAGATATATAAAAAAGTAAAGCTATTGAAGTAATTAATTCTCCTTTCAGCACAAATAGTAAAAATAATAATAATAAAAATACTGTGAGCTGATTAGCACCTGCACTAAGCTCCTTTGGAGAAAGTCTTGCTTACCATCTACTTTCTATGGAAATTTTAACATGTTAGCATTCACTTAAAAATAATAACCTTCAATTATCCCTTGGGTCTATTTTGAAGTATTTGAAGGGCTTTTTAGGACTATTTCATTTCTGATAGCTATGATGTAGGTAAGTGGAAAGAACAACAGTATCATCTATATCATTTGCATTATATACAGAAGCCAAGCAATAATCCCTAGAATCATGAGATTATAGAGATGGAAAGGACAGACAGGAAAGCGTCTATTCTTAACACTCTCATTTGCAAGTGAGAAATCTAAGGTCTACAGAAGCTCTGTCCAATAGAAGCATGATGCAATTTTAAATTCTCAGTGGACACATTTTTTTTAAAAGTGAAAAGAGAAAGAACTCATGGATACAGACATGTGGTGGTTTTAGGTGCGAGTAGAGGTGGAAGAGAGCATAGGGGAGATAAAAGGTGATGGAAAAATAACAAAGAAATGATAATTATTATTTAAAAGAAGTGAAAAGGGGAGATATCTAATTCTGGACAAGAGGTGTAGGCAAATTTCCCCTTATTCCTCCTGCTTATTTATTCCATATATAAAACAAACAAGGAAACTGTAAATTATGCAGAGAAGGTAGACCAGTGAAGGACTTTGGAACTTGAGGAATGACATAATGATGCCAGTAGTGCTGCAGTCTTTTTGCAGCAAGGGTTCAGGAATCTGGAGAACTGCACATAAATGAATAGAGACTAGACAAGAAATATAAATTTAGAAGGCATTTGGGGGAATTAGGCAGAGGCTCCACTCTCTAGTGACAGTGATGTGGGCTCCCTGAATGTCTGGACCCTTGGCTTT